TGGATATTGGGTAGATGTTGGCTAAAGAACTCAAAATTTTGGTTAGACAGGAAGAATAAGCTCGAGGATCTATTTTATACCATGGTGACTAGTTAATAACAATATATTACATACTTGAAAATTGCTAAGCGTATATTTTAAGTGTTCTCACCACAAAATAATAAGTACGTGAGGTAATGCATATATTAAATAGCTTGATTTAGCCATCCCACATGTATACATACACTAAAACATCATGTTGACAACATAAATATATAAAATTTTACTAGCTGATTTAAAAATAAAAATAAGACAGATTGACAGAATAGATTTTTTAAAATGAGTCAATTATATACTGTCTACAAGACACCCACTTGAAATCTAAAAATGCAAATAAAGTAAAAGTGAAAGGATGGAAAAAAGATATTACATGAAAAAAAAAAAAAAAAAAAAAAAGATCCCCTTACCGGTCATCGTTTAAAAAAAAAAAAAAAAAAAAAAGCTATTACAAGAGACAAAGGACATTATATATTGATAAAAGGGTCAATTCATCAAGAAGACATAAGAATTATAAATTTATATGCACCAAACAACAAATCCCCAAAATATATAAAGCAAACACTGATGGAATTGAAGGGAGAAACAGACAGTTCTACAACACCCTGCTTTCAATAATGAATACAACAGTCACACAGAAGAGCAGTAAGGAAATAGAGGACTTGAATAACACAATAAACCAATTAGACCTAACAGACATATACAGAATACTCCACCCAACACAATACACATTCATTCTTCTCATGTACACATGGGAATCTACATAATAGAGCATAAAGCAAGTCTTAATAAATGTAAAAGATTGAAATCATACAAAGTATCCTTTCCAATCACAATGTAATGAAAATAGAAATCAACTTAAGTAAAACTGAAAAATTCACAAATATGTGGAAATTAACCAATACACTCTTAAACAACCAATGGCTCAAAGAAGAAATCATAAGGGAAATTAGAAAATACCTTGAAACAAATAAAAATGATAATACAACATACTGAAATTTATGGGATGTAGCAAAAGCATTGATGATATGAAAACTGGTAGTTGTAAAGCATACATTAAAAAAGAAAAATCTCAAATCAATAAACAAATTGTAAACTTGGAGAAACTAGAAAAACAAGATCAAACTAAATCCAAAACTAGTAGGAAAAAATAGTAAAGATTACAGCTGAGATAAATAAAATGGAGAATAGAATAGAGAAAAATCAATAAAACTGAAAGTTAGTTCTTTGAAAGGATCAACAAAATTGGCAAACCTTTAGCTAGATTAACTAAGAAAAAAAGCAGACAAATCACTAAAATCAGAAATGCAAATGGGTTAGTATCAATGTTACCAAAATAAAAAGGACTTTAAGAGGATACTATGATCAATTGTATGTCACCAAATTAGATAACCCAGATGAAATGGACAAATTCCTAGAAATACACAATCTACCAAAACTGACTCATGAAGAAATAGAAAATCTGAATAAACATAAAATTATTTAGGAGATTAAATCAGCAATCAAAAACCTCCCAAACAAGAAAACCTCCAAACCAGATGGATCTACTGGTAAATTCTACCAAACACTTAAAGAATACCATTCCTTCACAAACTCTTCCAAATAATCGAAAAGGAGAGCTTTACTTTCTAATGCATTTTATGAGGCCAGGATTATCCTGATACCAAGGCCAAAGATACAAGAAAAAATAAAACTACAGACCAATATCCATTATGCATATTGATGCAAAAATCCTCAGTAAAATCCTAATAAGCCAAATTCAGCAGCATATTAAAAGGATTATACACCATGACCAATGGCACTTATTTGGGAAACACAAAGATGGTTCAACATATGAAAGCCAACGTGATAGCCCACATTAATAGCATGATTTTAAAAGCCACAATCATCTCAATTGATGCAGAAAAAGCATTTGACAAAATTCAACATCCTTTCATTATAAAAACACTCAATAAAATACGAATAGAAGGAACTTCCTCAATGTGATTAATAGGCCACTCAATAAAATACGAATAGAAGGAACTTCCTCAATGTGATTAATAGGCCATATACAAAAACTTCACAGCTAACATCACACTCAATGGGGCACAGCTGAAAGCTTTTCCTCTAAGATCAGGAACAAAACAAGGATGCTCACTTTCATCATTTCTACTTAACATAGGATTGAAAGTTCTAGCCAGAGTGATTAGGCAACAAAAAGAAATAAAATGCATCTAAATCTGAAAGGAAAAAATAAAATTATCTCTGTTCACAGAAGACATGATCTTAAATTTAGAAAACCTAAGATTACACATACACACACACTGTTAGAGCTAATTAATGAATTCAGCAAAGTTTCAGGATACAAAATCAACACACAAAAATCAGTTGCACTTCTATACACTAGTAATCAGCAATCCAAAATGGAAATTAAGAAAATAATTCCATTTACAATGCTTCAAAAAGAACAAAATACTTAGGAATAAACCAAGGAGAAGACTTATACACTGAAAACTACAAAATGCTCCTGAATGAAATTAAAGAAGACATAAATAAATGGAAAGGCCTCCCATGTCCATAGATTGGAAGATTTAATATTGTTGACAGTACTACCCCAAACTATCCACAGATTTAGTGCAACCCCTGTTAAAATCCCAATGGTGTTTTTTGCAAAAATTGACAAATCTTACCAAAATCAGTATAGAATCTCAGGGGACCCCAAAAAGTCAAAACAATCTTGAAAAGGATGAACAAATTTGAAAGACTCACATTTCCTCATCTCAAAACTTACTAAAAAGCTACAGTAATCAAAACAGTGTGGGACTGGCATAAGAACAGATGTATAGATTAATGTAATAAAATACATAGCTCATAAATAAACACTCATATATATGGCCAAATAATTTTCAAAAAGGGTGCCAAGACCATTCAATGGGGAAAGGACAGTCTTTTCAACAAAAGATGCTTGGAAAACCAGATACCTATCTGCAAAAGGATGAAGTCGGACCCTTACTTTACACCATATACAAAAATTAACTCAAAATGGAGCAAAAGCCTAAACATAAGGTAAAACTATAAAACACTTAGAAGAAAATATATAGAAGGAATGCTTCATAATACTGGATTTGTCAATAATTTCTTGGATATGACACTAAAAGCATAGGTGACAAAAGAAAAATAAGTAAACTACTTCATCAAAATTTAGAAGTTTTGCACTTCAAAGGATACTATCAAGAGTGAAAAGACAAACCACAGAATGGGAGCTAATACTTATAAAATCATATCCTGATAAGGAATTAATATTCAAAACATATAAACAATATGTACAACTCAACTACAAAAAAACCAGACAACCCAATTTTTAAAATGAGCGAAGTACTGGAACAGACATTTCTCTAAAGACATCCAAATGGCCAATAAGCACATTTGATGCTCAACATCACTACTAACTAGGGAAATGCAAATCAAACCACAATGAAATAGCATTTCACACCCATTAGGATGGCTACAATGGATAAAATGGAAAGTAACATGTTGGCAAGGATGTGGAGAAAATGGAATCCTTGCATATTCCTGGTGAGAATGTAAAATGATGCAGCCCTGTGGAAAAGTTAGGCAGTTCCCCCGAAAGTTAAATAGAACAGCCATGTGATCCAGAAATTCCACTCCTCAGTATATACCCAGAACTGAAAGCAGGGACTTAGATATTTGTAAACCAATGTTCACAGCAGCATTATTCACAATAGCTAAAAGGTTGAAACAACCTAAGTGTTCAATGGTTGAAAGGATAAACAGAATGTTATAAATATACACAGTATGTTTTTACTCAGTATTTATTCAGTCATAAAAAGAAATTCTGATACATGTATCAATATGGATGTACCTCGAAAACATACTAAATGAAATAAAACAAACACAAATATTTTTATTCCTCTTAGGTACTTAAAATAGACAAATTCATAGAGAGGTTATAAGGGGCTGGGGGGAAGAGGGAATAGTTATAATTTAACAGGTACAGAGTTTCTGTTTGGGATGATGAAAAACTTCTGGAAATAATGCTGATAGTTACACAACATTGTGAATGTACTAAATGGCGCTGTGTGCTTAAAAAGGGTTAAAATGGCAAATTTTGTTATGTATATCTTACCATAAAAAGATTAAAATTTGGAGGAAATTGCAGCCAGACTCTAAGATGGTCCCCAATGATCCTTGTCTCCTGCTATTCATACCCTTGTGTAATCCCCTCCTGTGGCATATGAGCTGAAATTAGTGACACTTCTAACAAACACGATAAGGTAAAAGTGACAGTGTTTGACATTGAGTCTAGGTCATAAAGTACCCTTGTGTAATCCCCTCCTGTGGCATATGAGCTGAAATTAGTGACACTTCTAACAAACAGGATAAGGTAAAAGTGACAGTGTTTGACATTGAGTCTAGGTCATAAAGAAATTGCAGCATTGCTCTTTTGGATTACTCTTTTAGGGTTAGCCAGCTACCATGTCGTGAACAGCTCCAGGGACAGGTCTCCATAGTGAGGAACTGAGCACCTGTCAACAGCCATGTGAGTGAGCTTGAAAGCAGATCCTCTAGCTCATTCTAACTGCACCTTTACAGCAGTTCCTGAGCCAAAACAGCTAGCTAAACTGCTCTTGGATTTCTGCCCCTCAGATACTCTGTGAGATAGTATTTGTTGTTTTACGTTGCTAAATTTTGCAGTAACTTGTTATGCAGTAATAGATAATTTATACCAGGGGTAGGGGAAAGATGTTAAAGCAAAAGTCCAAGTACCATGAAAGAGAATGATCACAAACTGCTGATACATTTCATCACCTTAAATATTGAATAAAATTTCATATTATAATAAAATAGGTTTTTCAAGTTAATCCTTTAGTGTGTAATGATAACAGGCTTTAAAGAAACAAAACAAAAATGTCAATCTTAGGGAACAAGAAAGTTAAGCTCACAAAGGATACTGAGATGAATTGAATCAAATTTCATTGGCATTAAAAGTTTTTATTTGGAATTTGACCCACAATCTATACAAGTTATTTACAAGGCATGAAAATGGAAAACAGCACAAAATACAATTGAGGTATAAGCTAAGAGCACAGTATGTCATGTTTCAATAAATATAATTCAAAATTTGTAAACTAAGTAACCAGATAGATGAGTCTTGTTTTTAGTAAAACCATATAAAATATTTATTTCACGTGAGGTAGAGGACAGTTTTGTGTGTAATGCAATGCAACCAACCACAGCAATTTTAACCATAAAACTATACATCATTGGCAAAATTTTAAATTGAATAATGGCAATGTAGTTAACAATTTGTTTCAGCAGTTGTAGTAAAGATACTTCATTTTACTGCCTTTATGAATTAGAAATTCAGAAATAATTTAAGACTACTATGTTGGCTTAAAATTATGATAAACAAATACCTCTAACAGAATGGTTAAAAGCAAATACATTTTATTTCTCACAAACTCTAATTCCTCAAAAGATGTCCTAGATTTAGCAATTATTTTAGTAGAATATTTTTATTAGAACTACTTTAAGTATGCTGTGCTTTATTTTCAAATGAGGTATCTATATTGAAGGAAAAAATCATAAATTCCTTTTATATTAAACTAACTTAATACACTATTTTGTTTTCTGGGCTTAATTTTTAAATTTGTTTTTATATTTTATCATTTTCTAATTCAAAAACGGTAGCACTATAGAAAACATTTAATTCTATTACTAAGCAAGCTTGAAATTGCATTATATAGTTTAGAAGCTATTTAAATGGAAAGATTTTACAAAAAAAAAAAAATGACTGTCCTTTTAAATAAAATGCAATATAAAATACCCATATGCTTTTCTCCCGATAGTGGAAATGCTTAAGTATCCTATACTAGAAAAAAATTCTAAGTTCTGTTTAAATTATTCTATTCCACAATGTATACAGTAGTTATATGTCCCTTATTGTCGACAGCTTCAAAAACTATTAACAAGTAGTTCCAAGCACAGACATAGATATACAGTATCAGCACAATTTTTCATTACATTAATTTTTAATGTCCTGTCATTTGGATTAAATGCATGAAGGGCAAATAAAAATGATGATTCTTCCCTAAGTAATCAAACATAAGTCTTACTATCGAAAAGAAAATTTTAGAAGCTGATCAAAAACTTTCAGCACCAGCTTTGCAATTAATTCTAGGGAAATATCTTGAGCACATTTTATATTACTTGAGTTTCCTTATCATTTTACTTTCCACCAAACGTAAGCCACACATATGTGCAAATAAACTGGCTGTTCTCTCATGACTTCTAAAAGATAGGATAACCTGCAAATATCATAGTACTCAGTCTATTTCACCAACTTTAATAACTTCCTTATAATTCAGTATGTATAAATGATTTTATATCTAAACTGGTAATATATTAAATATGTTATAAAATTAGTTCAAGCATAAAATGTCCAAACTGTCATGGATACAGAAATCCAGCAAAAGAACATGCTCTACAAAAACTAAAGTACAAGCCAAACTTAAGTTGTTGGTCAAATTGTTTCATAGTGTTACAAGTTGTTACAAGTTACAAGTGAAATTAGGGTGGTTTAAGAGCTTCCTCAGTGACAGCCGGTTTTACATTTACTACCTTTTTAGATTTGGTACATTTTTTTTTTCTAATAAAGTTTAACTATAGAAACAATCACCACCCAAATTAAATATCACCTATCACCCAGTAAGCTAATATTCTTTCTTCATTCTAAAGATGCTCTAGCAAAACTTTTCATAGGCTTTTCCCTTAATGTAAGTTTTTCAAGCAAACATTTTTAGATTTTCCTAAAAATAATATTATGAAATCTGAGGGAAAATCTGCTTGCCTAGTGAATGTGGCACGCAAAAACTAATACCAAAACAAACTTTAAGCTAGCAACCAACACACAAGATGAGCATGCAAAGAATAGAACAATAAGTTTTACACGGATAAGATATTTTAGCAGAGGCCACTTTTAAAGTATTATGAAATCTCTATATTGTTTTCAAGCTACGTGGTGCAGTTTTAACTTAGTTACTTTTATCAATAATAGGTATAATATTTACAACTGACTAAAAAACTATTTTCAAGGAAGTTAGACAGAAACCTATGGCACATCAATTTATCTTCTGGAAAATGAAGATTATACAATGTGACAAATATTCATCATGTGAATGACTAGAAAAAATATTTCTTTACTTAATTCTGAATAATTTAAGTGTTTAAGCACTGCTTAGAATTTTAAAATAACATATTTCAAAGATTAAACAATTTATTTTAGATGTTTTGGGTTGAAACTTAAGTAAGCTTATCATTTACTAAGTAACATAAGCAGAAAGGTTTTGAGTGAATTAAAAGATAAATGAAATTACAGGTGCTTGAGTTGCTTCCCCAAAAGCTAAGCTGTGACACAACTCATTTATAAGCTTATCATTTACTAAGTAACATAAGCAGAAAGGTTTTGAGTGAATTAAAAGATAAATGAGATTACAGGTGCTTGAGTTGCTTCCACAAAAGCTAAGCTGTGACACAACTCATTTACAACTAAAATAAAACTGTATCATAAACGTCTATGATTTTTCTTTCTTCAGATCTAAATAAATTGTATTGGGAGGATATGCTATTTTTAACATGTGTTTCTGCATGTCATTTTAACATTTGTCCTCCTTGAGGAGATTCCAAGAATCAACAAATTAAATTACAGAGTTAATATGGCAAAGTTTAAATGGAAAATAAAAAATACACCTTTAGATTATACTCTTATTTAGTAAAGAAACAACATTTGGGGATGTACAAAAATTATTTTTGGATATGAGTACCATTAAGCAAAACATGAAAATAACTGGTTAAATGATAACCTAGGCATTTCTAAAGTAATACACCTTCTACGTTGGAAATAATATATAACCTTAACCCTAGCTAATTTATTTTATAATAAATTTAGCTCTCTTAAGTAATTTTATACAGTACTAAGAGAACAGGAAAAACATAAAATTCATGGGATAATAATGTCAATTAATGATAGTTTCAGGAAATTTCCTTTAAAAAATGCATACTAAGAATTTTACCTAATATCTTCTAAGTCGAGAATTAATGAATATGAAATTTGCCATTAAAGAATGACAGACTTCTCTGTGCAAAAAAAAAAAAAAAGTGCAGAAGATGTTACCCCTTCCCAAATATGGAATTCCTTTGTCTTTGAAAAATCGTCTAAAAACCTTTTAGTAGCAGATAACTGAACTGTCCTATATTAATTAACCTATTATATACACTATCATTTGACTGTAAATTCCTGATTTTAATATTAAGTAGTAATTGAAAATGGTCCATTCGTGCAAATTTTGGTAAGACTTAACACATTTAAACATACAAAAGTCTAAAATAACCTTCAAAGTGTTTAATATTTTACAATTTAAAGCAAAACAAATCCATTATACAAATTTCAGTAACACCCATAACTATATATAAAAACTGTACAGGAGGATTATGAATTGTATAGAAACTGATATACATCAAGAGATCAGTTTTTCTCAAGAAGCTTAACATTTCCACGCCACTACTAACAACATAAACAAAAGTTCAGAAATTATTACATTTTATTTTTCTGAAGTTGCTGCATTAAAAAATGTCTAACTATAACCACATTTAAGCTGAAAAACAAATTACAACTGCTTCTTATGTTTAGTAGCAGCGCAAAACCAAGTATATTATCCTTCTCCATTGAGCCCATGGGGTGTGCTGTAACCTTATTAATAAAATTGCTCTTGGGAGATATTAAAGAGTACTGGTGGAAATTCATTCCACAGTCTGAACAAATTAAAAGCAAATATAGTGTATAATAATGAGTATACTGAATCAATTTAGAAAGATTATGTTAATGAGAAAAATGGAGATTTAACTCCTTCAGTTGCTCTATATATTTGAAATATGAATCTACCACTGTGCCTAAAATTGAGTCTGAAATACAAATAACAAAATTGGCCACAGCTATTTTCCATCTCATAATGCAGTTTTTAAAAAGCATACATTGTTAAGTTTGTATTAGAAATATAGGCAGATTATCTACTTATAGTTGAAACCATATAGTATTGTTACTCAGCTGACTGAAAAAGGAAAAAAGTACAAAGAAACATACATTTTCATTCATTTGGAAAATGTAAAAATTTATGTACAAATATATAATCTCTTCATTTCTCTTACCTACAAACAGAATGCCTAGTTATCTTCATGCAAATAAGTTGTTCAGAATTCAATGACCAAAGCAAGCAACAAACAAAAAGCCCTGTCAGTAACACACAGATGAATCTCTTTAACGGTTTCTACTCTTTAACACTCTTTGATGATTTCAAAATCTGCAGCTTTAGCTCTTTTATCATCATCTCTAACTTCTGTCTTGCCTCCCGCTCCTGTCTGAGTTCATCTTGGAGTTCTTGCCTATCAGCCTCGGCATGGTCCAATCTCTGTCTCAGTTCTGCCAACTGTGTGATTTAAAAGGCTTTTGTCAGTTTTCATTCAGTTTTGTTATTACATTCAATGGTCATATCATGGCAAAGACCTACTTTCAAAGTACTTTTTACAGAATTAACTATCTCGTGCATACCACAATCCCTTGAATACCTAATACTATTAATTTGACATGACATTAAATTGAGGGAAAAGCAAAGGATCAAGAGGAATGAACACCTATAGCACTTGCATTATATACTACACTTTACTATATAACTCTCATCACAACCTGCTCATGTTAGTTATTTTTTCATCTTCCCTAAATTGTAAGCTACTATTAACAAAAGTACTATTATTTATTTTTGCTCCAGTGCTTTTGAACATAGTGGGCAACAGTTCAAATTTGTTTAATTTGTAAATGTGAAAGCTCACAAACTACATTAAAATAACATAATATCTGATATTCAGAGAGCTACAGATTAGCAATTTAGGTAACTATAGAAACCCAATAGAAGTTTAAAGTAATAAAGCAATAAAGGTCAAAAAATCATCTTGAATAATATAGCATAAAGTTGTGTTTAACAGGATTATCTATTTTGAAGTCTAGTCTACTGAAATGAGCTTGACAAAAAGTAATACCTTCAATTGAGAAGTAAGTTTCCATGTGCAGGTTGAAAGGGCCCCATTGTACAAAATGAGTAATTCTTACCTGTGCTGCATATTCGGCCTCTTTGTCTTTTTCTAAATTTGAGTCACAGGTACATTTTTGCTTCATAACCTGCTCCAATTTTTTCTCTAAGTCTTTCTGTTCAACATAAAATTCTTCCATCCTTTGAGCATGTTCATTCTGCAAAGTTTCAAGCTCTTTCTGTAAATTCTGCTGTTCTTCAGTGAGTTCCTTCATGGCTTTTGAACTACTCAACATTTCCACTTCCTGTAATATAAAGAATCACAAAACAATTTTTACTTTATTTCCATCACGTTAAAAATTTCAGTTCAGGAAAAAATAGGTCAGAAAATATCTAAAATTCAGCTATCATATAAGTTCTATATAGAAGTAATTATCTTGAAAACTATTTTCTCTAAAAGTTTAAAAGTATACTAAAATTGCTTATCAGTGTAAAACTCTGAATAATCTTAAGTACATTTGCAGCATCTCATGTTGACTTTTCTTACTTAAAATACACAAAAGTATCTTTTCGTAATGAACTACTGTGTGTAGATAACAATTTTTACCATCTGAAGTTGTTGCTTCTTTTGCAAAATTGAGTTCAGTTTCTCCTGTTGCTTTACATAAGTTCTCATTACTTCTTCCATGATTTTTCCTTTATCATCCTCACAAATGACATCTTTGACAAGAAGTGGAGATGAAGCTGCAGCACCATGGCCAATTCCCACCTTGCTTGTGTCTCTGACTAAGTTGCAAGTGGTAGACTCGTATTTCTTTTTACTTGTAGAATTATTTGAGATTGAAGGATCTTTGAGAAAAAATAAAAAGTATGAAATCACTCTGTTTAAAAGTCACTGGAACAATTCATAAATAAAATTAAGAAAACAATTCCACTTACAAATTAAATAAAAAATAAAATAATAAGGAATAAATTTAACAAAAGTAGAACAAGACATGTAGAATGATAACTACAAAACATTGCTGAAAGAAATTAGAGACCTAAATACATGGAAAGACATCCCATGTTCATGGATTGGAAGACTTAATTTTGTTAAGATAGTAGTAATACTCCCCAAATTTGATCTACTTATTCAGTTCGATACCTATCAAAATCTCAGCTGTTTTTTTTTGCAGAAATTGACAAGCTGATCCTAAAATTCATATGGAAATGCAAAGAATTCAAAACAGCCAAAACAATCTTGAAATCTAGACTGTGTGTGGTACTGGCATGAAGACAGACATATAGATGAGTAGAACAGAACTCAGAGTCCAGAAATTAATAAACCTATACTTTTATAGGCAGTTGTTTTTTGACAAGGATGCCAAGATAATTCAATCAGGAAAGAACAGTCTTTTCATCAAATAGACAACTGTATCCACACGCAAAAGAATGAGGCTGGCCCTCACATTGTATATAAAAATAAACTGAAAATGGACCAAAGACCTAAATATAAATGTTTTAGCTCTTATAAATATAAGAATGTAAATCTTGTTAACCTTGGATTAGGCAATGGTTTCTTAGATATGACACCTAAAGCAAACATCCAAAGAAAAAACAGATAAATTAGACTTCATAAAAATTTAAAACTTTTATATTTCAAAGACACTAACAAGAAAGTGAAAAAGACTACAAAACATATATTTGATAAGGATCTACTATCAAAATGTCTAAAGTACTCTTACAACTCAATAATAAACAGACAATCCAACTTAAAAATAGGCAAAGGATCTGAATAGACATTTCTCTAAAGAAGATATGCACTGTCCAAGAAAAACATGAAAAGATACTAACCATCATTAGTTACTGAGGAATTGCAAATCAAAATTACAATGAGATAACAACTTCACAATCAATAGGATGACTATATTCAAAAAACAGACAATAACAAGTGTTGACAAAGATGTGAAGAAATTGAAGTCCTCATAAGCTGCTAGCAAGAATGTAAAATGGTGCAAAATGGTGTAAAATGGCTTTGGAAAACAGTTTGACAGTCCCTCAAAATGTTGAACATAGTTACCATATGACCCAGCAATTCCACACCTAAATACACACCCAAAAGAACTGAAAACATATGTCCACACTAAAATTTGTACATAAGTGTTCACAGCAGCATTATTCATAATAGTCAAAAAATGAACACAATGAAAATGTCCATGAACTGTTGAAGAGATAAACAAAATGTGGTATATTCACATAATGAAATACTATTAAACCATAAAAAGGAAAGAAGTCCTGATACATGCAACAACATGGACTAAAAAAACATTATGCTTAGTGAAGGAAGCTCGACACAAAAAGCCATATAGTGTATGATTCCTTTTCTATGAAATGTCCAGAATGGACAAATCCATAAAGACAGAAAATAGATTAGTGGGTATTCACATAATGAAATACTATTAAACCATAAAAAGGAAAGAAGTCCTGATACATGCAACAAAATGGACTAAAAAAACATTATGCTTAGTGAAGGAAGCTAGACACAAAAAGCCATATAGTGTATGATTCCTTTTCTATGAAATGTCCAGAATGGACAAATCCATAAAGACAGAAAATAGATTAGTGGTTGCCAGAGGCTGTAGGAAAGGGAGAACAGGAAGTGACTGCTAATGGATTACAGGTTTACTTTTCGGAGTGACAAAAATGTTCTAGAATTAAATAGTTGTGATGGTTGCACAACTTTGTGAATATAATAAAAACTACTGGATTATACACTTTAGATGGGTAAATGTTATAGTATGTGAATTATATCCCCCCAAAATTTTAAAGTCACTAGAATTAATTTGGGAAATAAAATACAATGCAAATGTGGCATAACAGTACATTACCAATTATTGTTTAACATATTTAAATTTTAAAAACTGACTTTTAAAAATCTCAAATTTAAAGTATAGAAAACTTTCAAGAATTGCAATTCTCTATGGAATCAGTTAAATAAGTAGAGGACTCTCCAAATGTTCCAAGGCAGCTAAAATATCCATGACACTGCCTAAACACTAATGCTGCAATATGGAGGGTAACACAGGGAGCATTTGAGTGAACATGTCTTATTTGGTCCACAGTATTTTAAAAGGCATGGTAAAGTAGGCAGCTTTTTTTAGATGACCAACCAGCATTCTGCATTTATGCCATCTTGCCTGGCTCCCAGAGCTTTCAATCCTTGTTTTATTCCATGATTAAGTTTCCATGAGTTCTATACCCAACTACTCTTACCTATATACATTATCTTACATACATATATTATATATATCTTATATATATATTATATATATATTAACTATAATTTAGTTAAATAGCTTCTCAATTCACAACAAATTAGAAAGAATAATAAGGACCTACCGAAGAAACCTGACAGCAAAGAAAAGGCAAGAAGAGGAAAAACATGAGACAAAAATTACATGCAGTATGAAGCCAGGTAACCTACATATACCTCATTAGCCTCTATAGCTATTACCATGCTAGAAAAGCATAGCAATTGAGAGTCGAAGAAATCACCCAGAGTTCTGAAACATGGTCTCAAAGATGGTTTTTAAGGTAAAAGCTTCAATTCTCTGGAAAATTAGTTTAAACAGAAATTCTCTTTGAAAATGCTGAATAAATGTCTTTATTAGATATTCAATTTTAAAAAGATAATTTCTGAATGCTTACCTAAATGGCTACTTGTTTTTAAATCCATTTTCTCCTGTTCCTCAAGTGAGACATCTGGATAAGACACTGTTTTTTGATGTTTACCATTACTGTGAGCTTTCTCTGTCTGTCTTGACATGGACTTATTTGACTCTGTCTTTGTGACCTCTTTAGACTGGGATACAGCAGAAGTAAGCGACACATTTGGGGCAACTACTTTATCACACATGTATAAGTAGTAGCTGGAAACAAAGAAAGGCAAAGTAAGACATATTACACATTTCATTTAGGTAAAAATCAAAATATGTAACATATTTCTATGGTTAAACTCTTTTCTAACCAAACAGACAATATAACAACTAAAATAACAAGAGTCGCAAAAAAGACTTTCATAGAAAAAAATCAACACTTTAGGCATCAAAAGCAAAATTATGAGGGATTTTTGTTATTTTGCAAATAATTTCTAAGCACTAAAAAGATACTTACTGGGAAAGAAAATCAGTCCCTTCTTTCCTCAAAACCACCTGAGAACTAAAAGCATGAAGCACTTTATACAGCTGTTTAATAGCCCTGAGTAGGTAAGGTTTATTCCAGAAAGAGAACAGATTATATGCTACTTTGCAGGGCTGTTTCTTGCTCACCACCCCTCCAAGGCAGGGAATCCTTGATTTTTGCTCCGGTGAAGCTGCTTCAATTGCACACTACATGGCTATGGCCTGATTCACGACAAGCCCAATGAAGAGTTCCCAGGGCCCTTTTTATATAGCTCAGAGAGAGAGCAGGCACCCTGAATGTTGTCCAGCTACTGGGCATTTCTTCTTGTATCAAACCCTACACAGTAATCTTCTTAAAATACTTTAGTACTTCCTAGTTATTTAATGAAATAGCAATAAATGTGCAAAATAAGATTGAAGAGATAAGTACCAATTTTGCTCAAAGTTCACATAAAATTGCTCAGTAGATAATCTGGGAGACTCATGGAACAAATTTGAGCTAGATATTAAAAGTACCATATTTGTAACTATAATATGAGTAACCTTTAGCAAAAGGGTATAACCATTTAACTGACAACATTTCATCCTCTAAACTCCACATATTCTCCTCTTACATCTCATTTTCTTTGTACAGGACATCTATATTGTTCCTCTCTATCAATCACATGAATTCTGAAGCTGAAAACTCTGTTCTCTATTAAGAAAACTGACAGGCTTAATAGTGCCCAAAAGACTTACTTCAAATGCAAAAGGTACAGTAGAGATTGTGCAAATGGAATATTCTTCATTGCCATGCTTTGGGGGTGGGGGCAGGAATACAGATTTAAAATAGCAGATAAGAATCTAGGACTCAGTAAATAAAAATCTTATAATCTTTGGTGCATTTTATTGAAAATATGAAACCTTGACTTTGAGAGGTATGGTTATTATGAAAGCTCTAAATTTCAAAACAATTGATTTTTAAAATATCAAAGCTGCACACCGCACTCTCGAAGAGTTGGTTTACCGTTTGAAGGACAGTAAGGAAATTAAAGAAGAACTTTGATATTTTCACTTCAGGGCAAAAAAGAAATAATCTATTTCTAGGAAAAAACACAGAAACACCAAGTAAAGGTTACCTCAAATATTCAATACGATTTACAATTCATTTCATTTTAGATTCTTTCTTTGCATTTTTTGCTAATAAGAGTGACCAAACACTATAATTCTTCTCTAATTTCCCTATGATGATAAATAGAAACAAAAGATATATTAAATCCCAACATACTTCTTTAAAATTCTGAATTTTCAAAGATAATCTATTATTAACAAGAAAGCCTGAAACTTTGAATACTTTAAATAATGAATCCCCAGGTCCTAGAATAGTACATGGCATATAGCTATTCAATGAATGAATGAATAAATAAACAAACGCTCACTCACTCACCTGGGGTGTAAAAATGAATCTGTCTGATCAACGTGGTCACCTTCCTGCTTTATAACAGGATACCATGACTGCAATTCCATTCCTGATGGTGTATTGGTCTGTAGAAAAATGTGGAAAGGGAAAATGTTATGGTTAACTTTGTGTGTCAACCTGATTGGGCCACTGGGTAAAGAATAGTTACATTATTCAAGAGTCATCTTCTAATAAGGCAATTTTTCCTTAAAGTATCATATCTAGTCACTTGAAACTCAACATGAACTATCCCATCAAAGAACAGTTTTAGTATGTATGTTAACACGGATTACCAGAAATGATTTCATCAAATATCATACTTACAGAATCTATTTTAAATAATAGTACTCTACAAATGTACAGCACTGGGAAGCTGTGATTCTTATTCTTACTGCTATAGCCAGCTAGAGGATATCCCACACCTACAGCATTTGTCAGCATATTAACCAAATAACATTCTACAGCAATAAATACTTTACACCAAACTAAACCCTAAGCCACTTTGTTTGTTGACACTTATCAGTAAACCATATTTCCTCATAAATATGAAAAGCTTTTTTTAAACACTGAAAGATGAACTGTACCTGTTAATAAAAGAAAACAGACAAGTAACTGGTAACTTAATTGCATCTATCTGCTGAAAACTTTATACATACTGCTTAATTCTAACAAATTATCATTATCTCCATTTTACAGATAAGAAAACAACTGAAGTTCAGAAATTGAGGGGGGGAAGAATAAATGACCTGTGGTTACTAACTTTCCCCTGGTTTCCTGTTTGCTTTATACTTCCTCACCTGACATCCCCCCATCATATTAATTATCCTGCTCTTATGGAGGGAAAAACCTAAAAAGAAGGTCAAGACTCACTGTTGGAAAAGGAAGAGGGGCTGAAAGGTGGCATGGTTGCTCATAAAGACAGAAGGTTAACAGACAAACCCAGTAGAGTGAAGGAGAATGGGATTAGGAATGAGTTAAAGGAAAGATAGGACAAAAAGGAGAGCTGGACATTTTTCTGAATCCTGCCTCTGAGAGGCTACAGTCCCTTCTGCAACTAGGCAGGATGTGTGGGAAATGACAACTTTATTCAATAATGAATAAACACCACATAAAAGGGATAGTCACTAAACACGAAGAAATTAGGAAAGCTGTTTTGCCCTGATGTCCCCATATTCCAGTTCAGAACCAAGAGGCTAAGGAAAGGGAAGGAAACAGATCTCTGGATGTTAAGCAGTTGCGATTAAAGCAAAATCAATTCTAAGTTGTCCATGGTTTGAATTGGGAGATCCTGCTAATGGAGGAAACAAATGAGGGTGAAGAAATTCAGGAGATATCTGACAAGTAACCTACTGCCCCCAATAAAACAGTCTAGAAACAGAAAAGGAAACAGCTACTGTAATACACATTATACAACTTGATCAATCTGGAGATGATTTAAGGCCAATTAAAAGCCAAAAGTTAAAATATGGTAACTTTATTAGTGGGAGATCTACATTTATGTTAAGAATTATTAGGCAAAGAATTTGAAAGACTAACAAGACCTCAAACTATATGGAAAAGAATAATACTTCAAAAGGATTTAAGAGTTGAATACTCAGTGAGGACCTCTAGGCTGGAAGAGTAGATTCTTAAAAAAACAAAACAAAACTCATAATCCTAATCAAATATTCTAAAGATTCAAATAAGCCTCACAATTCTGATAAAATATTCAGAACCTGGGCAAATTCAACTGTTTATTTATAAAATAAACTGATCATTTGTTTACGTAGTTTCTCAGCCTACAGCCTAGTTCCAGCAGTGAATAAGACTTCTGGCAACAGAAATACTAAATGATAGATGCTAGGTAACAGCTGACAGCCTAAGGAGAGAGGAAAATTACAAGACGCAAACACAAAAACTGCTTCAAAAAGCAAGACAGTCTGAGGGTACGAGCATAGGCCAGGGCAAGTAATTTAATATATCTCAATTGTCCTCTACCCCCAACTGAATAGAGTATAGTAATTAATATTTAAGAAGTCTTGAGTCAACACAACTAGTTTAATTATGTTTTATATGCCACTTAGATTCAAAACTAAGACATTTTAGAATTCATAAAAAAGGTTAAAGATTTATAAAACACAGTGCTTAAAAAAGTAGCTTAATGGACAGAACATTTTGCAATGATAAAAGAGGTTTTAATGAGTGTGAATAAGTTCACTCTAACAAATCAATGAAATCTAAGAATAGTTTGAATTAAATGAGTATTTCTTTTCTATAAGTTATTTTTTAAACTTATTATATAGAAAACAAAGAAAGCTCCTTTTAAAATAAATCTTATATCTGAAACAATTCTAACTATACAGTGTTCCCTCAGTATCCATGGGGGATTGATCCCAGGACCTCCCACGGATACCAAAATCCTCAAATGCTCAAGTCCCTGATATAAAATAACAGTATTCGCATATAATCTATGCACATGCTCCTGTATTCTTTAAATCTGCTCTAGATTATTTATAATATGTAACACAATGTAAATACTATGTAAATAGTTGTCATACTGTATTGTTCAGGGAATAATGACAAGGAAAAAAAAGCCTGTACAAATTCAGTATAGACATGTTTTTTTCCCCTCTATCCATGGTTGGTTGAATCCAAGGATGTGGAACCCACAATACAGAGAGCCAACTGTACTGCCCAAGAAATCGTTTGATTGATTTTTTAAGTTAAAATTACTAAAATTGATTTACGTATTTAAAAGTTTTTCCTGGTATGGATACTGGAATCTCAAATCTTCAGAATAGCAAGCAAATTCTAAACTTCTTCAAAGACCTAGACATGAAATCTGACTCAATTTTGTTCATTAAGTTCATTTCAAAACTATAGTTTGATTTGTATGGGTAAGTTTTATTTTTATTCATGATCCAAACCTATCATCTCTTTATTTCTATGATGTCTGTAAACTTCAGATGTCACCTTAAATAAATGCTAGTGCATTTGTCTATTTTTAAACATTCATCCCTCTTAGTTCTTATTCTTTATTTTATTTCCTACATTCACACCAACCCAAAATGGAGTCAAAGACGAGGAAATCTCCCTTTAAGATCTTAAAGTTCTAAACAAATCTCCCTTAAAGATCACCTAGTATAGTCCCCAAGCCAATATCTGGATTCCCTATTCAAATGTCCTGATAAGCGGCTATCTAGTCTGTGCTTGAACAGCAGTTTGAGGTCAAGAAGTGTCTTACTTTTGTATTTTCAGTACCTAGCACTATGCCTAGCATGTAGTAAGGACTCAATAAATACTTGCTGAATGAGTTCTGAATGACAGCATAGCTCATTAATTCCCACAGTAGCCTTTTACAAGGTTACTCTGCTACCACAAACTCACAATAGTGTGTTTCACATTCGATATCTTTCTACTCCATGAAGCACCAAAGAAGTCCAACAGTCTCCAGGCTGTATTATACCAGATGGGGAAATGCACAACACTAACCACAATAAAATGCTGCAAGTCAATTTTACCTAATATACTGTGGTAAGCCATAAACACATTTGTAACAAATCATCCTAACTGCATGTTAAAAACAATTCAGAAAAGCACAATGTGTATTATACACGAAACATTCACAGACATGCCAGATTTTCTCATCTATTCTTTGTGTCAACATACAAATAAGGTTTAAGAATATAATTAAATGGCACAGCAGTAATAGTACTGATCAAGAATAAAAATCAGATACTAATAAGATATGAGCATCTACTGCCTTTTACCTAACTTTTCAACGCAGGAATAATTTATTCCTTTGTGTATTTAAGCATTAAAAGAAAATGCATTATATTACTTGTCAAAGGAAAGAAGTAGATCATTTAGTAGCTTAAGTTAGAGGCTTAACATTTTTAAATGCTTTTATCACCTACCTTTCCCACCATTATCTAGCCCAAAATGAACACATGGCATCCCCATTTCAGACACATAAGCAAAATTTTACCTATATTATTTTATTCCAAAGGTTCTTTCTGTAAGTCATAAAACTCCAAATAATATCTATAAAAATTCAAGCAATCTCAAAATGTATAGAAGAGTTCATTTAAAATAAGTAAAAATTAGGAAATGTTGTATGAAAGTTTCTCTACATTTCCGCACCTTACTATTAGTTTGCATACATGACTCTCTGCTAACCAGATTTCCTAATAAAGAACCATTGCATTTTGGTAATACAATGCTTATTAGACTCACAATAAAAAAATAATTTAGAAGACTTGATTTCATCTATAAAAAAAATTATTTTGTTACCACTTTCTAAATACAAAAGAAATTCCACCAACTCAGCACTATTCACATACAAGTATTCCAATTTGTACTTTAAAAAGAAAAAAAAAAACTCTAAAATTTCAAGACTTACTTTCAATAACAAATTTTAGGTAGCACTCTAGTTTTTAATTACAGCATCAGATTACTATTATGATCTTTAATTAAGTCCTAATGATACACATTAATAAATGAAAGAAATTAAGACAATGACTCAAAACACTGGTGGGACTTCCAAACTCCCAACAAAATCAAAATTAAGCCTATTTTTTTTTTCCTTTTTGTCTTTTTTGGTGACCGGCCACGGATCACAACCCTTCGTGTCACGCCCGTACCGGACCAGGACCGGCCACGGGATTGCAACCCCCGGTGCCGCCCCCGCACCTCGCTCAGCCAGTGAGCGGCCGGTCTGTATGTGGGATCCGAACCCTCGGCGGGAGCGCCGCCACACTTCCCAAGCGGCGCACTGTAGCAGTGCGCCACCGGGCCGGCCCAAAATTAAGCCTATTTTAAAAAATACTTGTATGTGGAAAAATTATTTTAAAAAATAGAATTTAAGGGGCCGGCCTGGTGGCGCACTGCTACAGTGCGCTGCTTGGGAGCGCGGCGGTGCTCCCGCCGAGGGGTCAGATCCCACATACAGACCGGCCGCTCACTGGCTGAGCGAGGTGCGGGCACAACACTGAGGGTTGCGATCCCGTTGCCGGTCCCGGTCCGGTATGGGCGCGACACTGAGGGTTGCGATCCGTTGCTGGTCACGAAAAAAGACAAAACAAAAAGTAAAAAACAGAATTTAAGA